AGAATCCTGCTGTGATCCCTGCTCCCATGCAGCCCGGGGAGCCTCGTCAGGCTGGACTAGAGAACTCCATGAGGGTGGAGGGAAGTTGCTGTGGGAAATACCGAGTGAGTTTACGTGAGTATCTGATGAGGATTGACGAAAAACGCAGAAACTTGAGCAGATTAAAGAAAACCCATCCCCAGGGCCAGGGGAGGCCTCCCCAAAGGCATGAGGTACCAGGAATGAGTTAATCCCACCAAGGAATGTGGAGGAGCTGCCAGATAACAGAGTGACATTGTTTTTCCCTGATGTCAGCACAGAAACCCAAACACAAAGAGGTGAATGTAGTCCTTGGAGGCAGCTGAATGTGGAGCTTGTGCCTGCCTCCAGCAGCATTGAGACAAGATGACAAAGTGTTTCCTGGAAGCAGGGGCTGGCTCCGGACAGCTGGGCCAGCCATGGTGGGAAGGACTGGGAGATGTTCATGTGCTGGGAGCAGCCACAGGGTCCCACTCTGCTCCCTCCTGCTTTATGAACATGCAGCTCTGACAGGCTCAGGCTTCCACTGAGTAATATACAGCCATCCATGGTCATTTTATTTGCCTTTACAGCTCACTTTAAGGCATCTTATTTTCTCCTGAAGTGTCTCCATGTTGTGTCTGGCCTGAGTAATTCAATTTATTCTGTATTAGGTAGGTGATGGTCTAGCGGATATCTAGGCCTTGCTGGAATAGAAGCCTTGTTTCACTTCAATATAGGCAGCACTTGTATTGCTTCCAGAGGGATGGTAATTAAATACTTGCTGATAGGCTTTGGATGTGGAGCTGCTCCTCTCAGCAGCCGGAATGTGCTCTGCCTGGATCCACCTCCTGAGCGGGAAGTTTCACAATTGGGTGACTGTCCATCACATATGAGAAATCCATAACGGCATAGTAATATCTGTATTATTCATTTTTGGCTATTCTGAAGCCTACAGGAAGGTAAACAAAAGGAGAAAAACCTGAAGAGAAGGTTTTAAATTGCTTTGTGTTTTTATTGCAGGGCTGGTATTAACCTGCTCGGCGCCCTTGGCTCGGCCTGGTGAGGAGCCACGGCTGCTCTGTGCCTGGGCTTACACACAAACCCCAGAGCTGGTGTGTTAATCAGGGAAAGCACACATGGGAACTCTTAGCAGCTTCTTAAAATCTGCTTGGAAGAAAGTGAAGCTGCAAATGTTGTTTTCTGAGAGGACGAAAAAACGTGAGTCACTGAGGTTATGGATGTCAAAATGGGACACGCTGAGGGTCGGCTGGGTGGGGAAGGGTCCTCCCCGTCCCAGCTCTGTGGGACCATACAGCTGCTTGTGAGAATATAAATTAAACACTCTGGAATTATCCAGCACATCTAGAGCCAGTCCAGAGGAGGCCACGGAGCTGCTCCAGGGCTGGAGCCCCTCTGCTCTGGAGCCAGGCTGGGAGAGCTGGGGGGGTTCACCTGGAGAACAGAAGGCTCCAGGGAGAGCTGAGAGCCCCTTGCAGGGCCTAAAGGGGCTCCAGGAGAGCTGGAGAGGGACTGGGGACAAGGGATGGAGGGACAGGACACAGGGAATGGCTTCCCACTGCCAGAGGGCAGGGAGAGATGGGATATTGGGAAGGAATTGCTGGCTGGGAGGGTGGGGAGGCCCTGGCCCAGGTTGGGCAGAGAAGCTGTGGCTGCTCCTGGATCCCTGGAAGTGTCCAAGGCCAGGTTGGACGGGGCTTGGAGCAACCTGGGCTGGTGGAAGGTGTCCCTGCCTGTGACAGGGGTGGAATGGGATGAGCTTAAAGGTCCCTTTGCACCCAAACCA